CCTCTACTTGGCTACCTTTCATACATTCTTATTCCGCATGCCCCAGAAACCACTAAATGAACCATGGCACTAAAGTGGTCTCCATTTCACATCATTCTTTACCAACTCCTCTGAGCAGACAAAACCTCAGGACCTTTCTACTTCCCCAAACTTATCATTGTCATTGATTCAAGGACAGAGGGGAACTGACTCAAGGACCAGGGTGCCTTATCTACAAACCCAAGCCCCAAGTGAACAGTCCTCTTATCTCCTCACATGGCAGTAACAAGTTTCAGAGGTCCAAGTACCATCTAAGCCAGGCTTAGATAGACCTAGTTTATAGCTTGGACTTGGAAAAAGAAAAAGAAAACCATCATTTTCTCTTGCCAAGTTTCCTCATACCCAGCTTCACACCTACCAACAAATGCTCCTCTGGGCTGGGGATCACAAAGGTCTTAGGAAAGAACTTCATAAAGAGAAGCCAAGCAGTGCCCCAGAGGAGCAGTGACCTCTGTTACCTCGTCGGTAACCTCAAAGCTCCACTGATCAATATTTGATCCCAATTTAGCATCTCACAGAGGATTTCCTCTTAACCCTAGAATAGTCTGACCTGGTTTCTTCTCTCTGTGGTTAATTATCCACAGAGACTAGCCAGCTGACCAGAAGACTGAACTCTGGTGCCTCAAGAGATAGGCATTTTCAGTGTGAGGCAACCTAAGGAATAATTAGAAGTGAACATAAGGATAAACTACTGATAATCTAGTGATTGGTGGGAGCGTAGGTAACAGTAATGCTCTAAGCCCTTTGACACAGTGTCCTGGAGCCTACTGTCATGAGCACTATACAGACTTATTTTGAAGTTGTTTAGCCCTAACATTCACTGCTATAAAGTCAATGGGAAAGCCCAGGAAGCAAGTGGACTAAATGGTGCCTCTCCGGAGCTGGCTTAGAGTCTTTTTCTGAAAATGGATAGGACACGGGGAAGAAAGTTAAGGGAAAATGAGTGGTATGGATAAAACAGCCAACTGAGTTCTAGGCCCAAATACAACTAAGTGCCTGAGAACTGGAGGAAGGGGGAGAAGGCTGAGCACTGAGGTCATCTTGACCTTGGGAGGACCTCTTTAAAATAGACAAAGGCAATGGTGCCCTCTGGTGGCCAAGGATAAGTGCAGCCTAAACCTAAACTTATTTAACAATCTACATCAGTAGACCAAACTCCTGTATTTAAGGGGTAAAAGCTAAAATTTATTGAATATTATTTCCAGATACTATCTAAGTGTGGTACATACATTACCTTATACCTTGATTAATCCTCACAACTCTAAGAGATGTAAATATTAATATCTCTACAGGAGAGGAAACCAAAGTTTAGATAGGAATGTACCTATACCCATGTATACCAAGTATCTTGTTTAGGGCCATAGCATGTAACTGGCATTGCTCAAATTCAGACTTAAGATAGTGTCACTCCAGAAGCTGCATTTTAACTATTAAGCTCTACTGTTTGTATGATGATGATTGTGAATTATCAGCTGCAGCTCAGAAAGGACTTTTGAGTCATAGTTAACTGTCTCCTGGTTATATCAGTATGTTTTGCTATATTTAAAAATATTTTAAAAGGACCTGTAGTCTAACTTATCTGTAAAAACTTTTTTATACCCATACTTGAAATACATAAATGGTGACCCTCTCAGAATACATAAAGGGGAGACAAACATTTAGCACCTAAAATGACCAAAGGGGTAAAAGGGGCTTCTCACATGGAATAATCAGTTTGGAAAAATAACTGAAGAGAATATAGTGTTTTTTCACTACAGAGTATTAGAATCAGAGGGCATGCATTCAAACCTGGATGTAGTTGTTTTTGTTTAATTTGAAAGACTATTTATTTTTAGAGACAGGGGGAGGGAGAAAAAGAGGGAGAGGAACATCAATGTGTGGTTGTGTCTTGTGCACCCCCTACTAGGGACCTGGCCTGTAACCCAGCCATGTGCCCTGACTGGGAATCAAACTGGAGACCCTTTTATGTGCACGCCAGTGATCAATCCACTGAGCCACACCAGGCAGGACCTGGATGTACTCTTCAAAGAAAAGAAGTTGTACTACTTCACAGCCAAGGGGGACTATGTGGAGACTCCACTACCACTGCCAAGTGAGGTTTAGCAGAAAGACCACTGGTCTAGGGATAAGATGACCACTAGGGTTGAAGTTGGCTCCTGCTGACTAGCAAGGCACAACCTCACTAAGCTTGTTTCTTCATCTGTAAAATGGGAGTAACATCCATTTCTTAAGAGTTGTAAAGTTAATTCAGAACACAAGTTTGAACTGCATGAATCCACTTATGTGTGGATTTTTTTAAAATAAAACAGTCGGCTCTTTGTATTCCCCAGGCTTCATATCCACAGTGTCAACCAACCACAGATCAAACACAGTAGTTTTGATCTGCATTTGGGAACTGTGGACACAGAGGATCAAGTGTACGCATTGCTTGATGCCATTTTATGACACTTGAACATCTGCATATTTTCTTGTCCGAGGGGGTCCTGCAACCAGTCCCCCAAGGACACCAAGGGACAACTGTAGTTAAGTTTTTAGGGAGTCTAAAGTTGTACGTGGATTTTTAACCATGCAGGGATTAGTGCCCTTGACCCCCCACATTGTTCAAGGGTCAATTGTAATAGTTGGTTTTTCCTTGCTATTTATCCCAGTTCTCCATTTAATGTTTTAGAGGGGGTAAGGGAGAGAGGGAGAGAAACATCAGCAGGTGATACATTGATTGGTTGCCTCTCACACACCCCAATTGGGGACTTGGCCCGCAACCCCAGCATGAGCCCTGACCAGGAATTCAACTGGCAACCTTTCCATCCACAGGCCGGCATTCAGTCCACTGAGCCACACCAGCCAGGGCCCAGTTCTCTATTTAAAGGAAACTTGTCCCTGCTGATACTTATTTTTAAAGGACTACATTTTCACATCATAAAGTTTCCTGGTCACTCCTGGATCTCACTTAACACAGGTTTTGGGAATGTTTAAGTTTCATCATTTTAGTGATAGATTCATTTAGAAGGTATCTAAAGCTTCAAGTGTAACCAGATATGTAAGGTTGAGTATATGTCCTATTACAGGGGTTCCCAACCCCGTGCCACTGACCAGTATCAGTTGCCTGTTAGGAACCCTGGATGGCACAAGAGGAGGTGAGCGGCAGGCAGGAGAACAAGGGAAGCTTCATCTCCACAGCTGCTCTCCATAGCTCCCCATTGCTCTCATTATGGCTTGAGTTATGCCTCCTGTCAGATCTGCTGCAACATTAGATTCTCATAGGAGCTAGAGCCCTACTGTGAACTGCGCATGCGAGGAATCTAGGTTGCACACTCCTTATGAGAAGAGAATCTAATGCCTGATGATCTGAGGTGGAGCTGAGGTGGTGATGCTAGTGCTGGGGAGCAGCTGCAAGTACAGATTATCATTAGCAGAAAGGTTTGGCTGCACAGAGGCTGTAATAAATCAGTTGCTTGCAGACTCATATCAAAACTCTTATCAGGTCCTGGCTAGTATGGCTCAGCCGATTGAGTGCTGGCCTGCAAAACAAAGGGTCACTGGTTCGATTCCCAGTCAGGGCACATGCCTGGGTTGCAGGCCAAGTCCCCAGTAGGGGCCGCATGAGAGGCAATCACACATTGATGCTTCTCTTTCTCCTTCCCTTCCCCTCTCTAAAAATAAGTAAATTAATTTTTTTAAAGGGACTCTATCAGTGAGTGGCAAGTGACAATTAAACTGCATCTAGTTGCAGACTATAAAGGTCCCCTGACCCCCTGCAGAAAAATTGTCTTCCAGGAGATCAGTCCCTGGTGCCAAAAAGGTCAGGGACCACTGCTCTATCAAATACTGGGCTAGAATAATCTGTTATGGTGAACCTCCAGAAGGTTTCTTTGTTTTTTTTTTTAATTTTTAGAAGATTTTATTTATTTATTTTCAGAAAGAGGGAAAGGAGGAAGAGAGAGAGAGAGGAAAATCAATGTGTGGTTTCCTCTCACATGCATGTGCCCTGACTGGGAATTGAACCTGGCGACCCTTTGGTTTGCAGGCCAGTACTCAATCCACTGAGCCACACTAGTCAGAGCCAGAAGGGTTCAGATAAATCCATGGATTCCTTGTGGTAACCTGTGATATGAATCAAAGATATGCAAAGTATACCTTTTTAACCTGCTGAGGACCAAGTCAAAGACAGTAACATCTGCTCTTCTCTATGCAGAGTGCATTTCTATGTACCAAGGTCAAAGAGTTGGGCTGGAGAGTTCTGAACAATTGTACCTTGACAAACTAGTGAGGGGCATCACAAGTAATTTGTTACTAGTTAACATTAAATTCATTTTATTTATTAAAACTTGTGAATAACTTACTTGGTAAGTTGAAAGTTTCAAGTTCCCTATATATGAGTACTCTCACTTATACTTCTGATCAGCTTTCTGATAGAAGAGTAAGACACCAGGAGGCAATGGACAGAATCCTGGGTATACTCTCAGGGGTATGAAGCATGTGAACATTATTCATGGGCACCACAGAGGGCAAACAGTTTAGTTTTTTCCAGCTGCTCTGGAAAACTGACTTGATAGGATATAGTGTTTCGTATGAATGATGAGAGAAGAGGAAATTAACATTAGACCTTGAGTTTAGTTGTCAGCTATTATCAGGGTACTTGCACTGAGCTCTGTCTTGTGTTAGATTTCACAGGGATTTGTGGTATAAGGAAGCTTTGCTGAACACATTCATTCTGTGTGCAAGATAATAAGAGGAAAAAGGACTTCAAATAGAAGCTAGTTCATAGCTCTGTCAGATCAGATAAACTCTTGGAAAAGTTAGTTTATAGATGCAGTTTTGCCACTAAATACATAACTTAAGGACCTGTGGTTTCTCTGGGCCTTAGTTTCTTCATATGTAAAATGGACAGAGGTAAACTAGATGACCTCCAAGTTCCCTTTAGATTCTCAAACACGGAATTTTAAAAGTCTTTAAAATGTTTATTCAGTTGTTCTCTCCCTGAGGCATTCCTGGGACAGAAATGTTCCATTCCAAACCCTAAGACAGCCAAACTCCAGAGTAAGGGTATTTAAAAAACTCCTCAAAGAAGTTATCCTTTGTTTTCATCCTTATGCCACAGTACAGAATCTCTACATACAGAAAGTGAGGCCAGACTTACAGACTAGATTGACAATAGCCAGTGATGAAGATGAAAAGGGTATACTTTAGTACTGCTGTTGGCATCAAATCTTAAAAATTTAGGCCATCAAATAAGGCCTTTCATTAAATAACATTCCTTACCTAATTTCCCCCTATCTGAAAAAGCCCTTACTTCTCAGCTGAGTTGATCACATCCATCTCCCCCTTCCTGTATGATCTTGCTGATCCCTCCATCTGGAAGGGCAGGGAGGGAAGAATAATGCATGTCCGTTATTTCCTTTAAGACCAAGCTCCGTCTTACTTTGTTTCATCAGTATGAATACATGCAGTTTTTAGACTCCTATACTACCATACTTCTGTTCTCTTACTTACTCATAGAGGGTCATCTTCTCTCCACCATTACGCTTTTAAACACACTGTATTGAGTAGGCACTGAATAAATGTGTATCTAGTTTGTCAGTGCAGTGGGAAACTCAGATGGCAAAAAAATGAAAGCTTCAGCCTCCTCCTCCCTCTATGCTCTACCATTCCCAAAGTTCTTCCTCCCATTCCTTTTCCTTTCCCGTCTGGAACCCCCTATCTTCGAACCTAATCTAAGGGCCAATTCTGAGCATGAAAAGACAACACAGTTCGTACTTTTGATTTCATATTTTTTCAATTCATTTCAGTAAAAACATAATATAAAAGGCATTGCCACCTTTTCCCCTCCTGGGGGTGATCCATCAGTTCAGGCCGCTCCAGTGGTTCACAGCTCGTCGTGCGATATGTGCAGGGCATGGTCACAGAGATCTGCAAACAGCACGTAACAGTTGGAAGGAAACTGCCATTCTTATATTGATATATGCCACTACCAAGAAAACACCTGAAAGGCAAACTGATGTACATAACAACCACTATTTTTCAGAGCATATGCTTTTAAATGACAAAACATTCCCATTATCCTCTCACCTGTGCCTCAGATGAAAGAGCCACACATTCTGAAAGCTGACCGGAAGAAAATAGATAGGAACAACCCTAGTCCGTAAGCCACAGGTAACAGAAGGCCAACTCGAGCCAACATCAGGGGATTCAAGGGAGGCGGGGCATGCTAAAGAATGTGCCAGATTCCACAGAGCTATGTGGGCAGAAGGTAAAGTGGGAGCAGCTTACCTGTCCTCTTACTACAAAGTTTGTCTTTAACATTGTCAGCCTCTCGGGAAAAGAATTCTATGAGTTCATCCTCATATTCCTCCACAATGCTCTCACACTGCCAACCCAAGGGAGAAACGAGTGAGAGAAAGCAGCAAGAAGAGGCTTCTTGCTTCTGACTCCAGAGAGAACAAGGATATTAACCCAACTTTCCACTTGGTTCTCCAATAACCCCCCCTAATTTCTAAGACCCAGCTACCCATTCCCATAGCTCACCACAAATTTGAGGGTGCCACTGATGTCTGAATCAATTCGGATGCCCTGTAGATCCAGTTTACTGGATTCTCCATTTCGGCTCACTACACGTACATAATTCTTGCGGTGGGTGGAAGGGTCAATCTGTTCCCCATACTCCTTCATCCGGTCACATACTTCCTCTAGCAGCTCTGTGAGGTGGGCCTCTGAGCGGGCGTAAGGCACCTAGAAATGTCCTCAGCCTTGGGTCACACTCTTCTACCTCTGTACAGTTAATTTACATTCTTACTTTTCCTTCCAAATCTAGCTCAGTCAACCTATTCTAAAAAGCCTGTCCTATTTAAAAACAGTATGGTTTATTTGTGTAATTCCTTCCGAAGTGCTTTCAAATACTGTATATGACCTTTTTTTAAACTTCATTATACATCCCTAAGAAACAAAACAGGTGTCATTAGGTCCAAATTATAAACAAGAGACTTCTTTGATTAACCCTAGTGAACTATGTGTTCTTTTTCTTGAGCTCCCTTAATTTTTATGGATGTAAGATAATGATTTTTTTATTAAAATGAGACTAAAACCTTCCTTCAAGAGGAGGGCACTGGAAAGGGAGTGTAGGCTTTGAGGATAACAACTCTTACATCATTTCACTAGCATTAGAACATTTATATTTCTTTCTTTATTGATAACTAGGTACAGCTTTGTTATATGTGTTGTTTTCAACTAAAAGAAATTTCCTAAATACAAGGATGAGAACTTCTATTTGTCTTTTGAATGAGTTTGTGTGAATACCATATTGCCATATTGAAAACATGAGTCACATGGATTAAGAATGTGGAGAAAAAGGCCATCAGGGTTCCCCATCTGTTAACAACTTCTACAGCAGAAAAAAGTATCAAGGCTTGGAGCCAGGAAGCAAGTGCATAGGGTTTGAGTGTTCCAGCCTCTCCCAAATGAGACAGCCCTTTTAGATACTTCCCTGGGTCAATGTTTTCTTCATTTCTATTAAACCAGCTCCTTCTTAATTAGCTGAGTCCTTATTCAAAGTCAGAGTGAACTACTTTATTTGATGAAAAAGTAGCAGTTACCTCCACCACTGACTGGCTGCCATCTGGATTGATTCGGAAAGAGCCCATCTGAATGGTCTTCTTGGGATCCACCTGGGCAATTTCCCACTCCAGTTCATCCACCAGAGCCCTGCAAGCTGGTGCAGGGGGAGAGAAGGGGGTGGGGTGGGGGGGAGAATCATCCCAGGGATTTCCATTTGTTCTTACCTAGGTTTTGGATCTCATGTCCTCCCAAGACTCTGCGTTCCCCACCCTCCTTCCTCCCACTTTTCTTTGTGTCTTTACCTCCACAATGTAGATCCTGGCTCCTCCGAGCCCAGGCAGTTCCCAGCAGGGCCCCCAGAAGCAGGGCCAGCCAACCCCAGCCTTTCATCTTTAACGGAATGGGGTTGCTCCACCTGGGTTTGGATTGGAATAAAGCATAAGGATGAGGAGCCGGCTCCATTCCCCCACCCGTCCCTCATCCCAAGGCCTACAAAGGCCTCAGTGTGATTCTGGTTCTACTTTCCAGGAAATGGCTAGGATACAAAGGGGCTCCTCTGTTTCAGCGCTCGAGTACCTGGATTCCCCCAGGCAGTGGGTTAGAGCCGAGGTCAGGACTTGGGGTTCAGCCCCAGACAATACGTCGACTGGTGAGGCCCTAGATGCTGGTACTTCAGCGTCCGGCGAAGGGCTCATGGGGCTATGTGGCAGCTACGGAACGGAAGTCGGCGATTAAGCGCTGACGAGAGGCACAGAGGAGCTGTCGGCCAGGAGGCCGTGAGGTGGCTGGCCGGAGCGCACTCAGCAACTAGGGCCTATTCGGACCCAACACCAAAGATTACTGAACCCCCACCTTCAGCCTATAAACTATTTCCCCTGCGGACCAGCCCCCTTTTGAGGACCCCGCCATTGCCTTCGTTCTAGTCTGTCCCCAACCCTCAGCGCCACTCGCAGCCACTCGCAGCCGTCCCACCTCTGCTCCCAGTCCCACCTCTGCTCCCAGGGCCGCCGCTGTGGCCCAGGCACTGGAAGTCGATCTGTCTCTCCCTTAGCTCCAGACCCTAGCGCCTGGCTGCGGGCGAAAGGGGCTGTCCGGGCTTCTCCAAGGCGCTCCGGCGCTTTTCAGTCACCGGGTGTCCGGGTGATCGCCTGAGCGGCTCCACGCACCCTAGGTGGGTACCTAAGCAGGGCTCCGATTCACTGCCGTGCAAGCCCCTCACCAGAGACTGACTCCAAACCCGCCCATCTACTCTCGCGCGAACAGGCCGCTTAGGAATGACACCAGACAACAAGGACCCCGGTGGATCGCAGGACCCAGACTTGCGTGGCTAGCAGCTCCACGTAACCACTAGGGGTCAGCCGAAGAGTAGGAGTGGCCTGAAGGGCAGATTCCGGACTGGTGCGTGGAGGCGGTCAGGCGCATGCGTGTGTCACTCCACGTGGGCTAGGATCTTCAAAAACTAAGGTGCGCTAGTAGCCCAGAAGCAGCCCTGGTTTCAACAGGCAGGAAACTACCTCTCCCGGGAAGCCCCGCAGCACCAGCAGAGCCCTCGTTAGTAGGTACAGGTTAAAAGGTATTCTGGGACCTGTAGTTTGTAAGCTTCCCCATTCCCCTTCTACAGTTAACGGGTAAACCCTACTGTATGTCTTAAAATAATCCCACCTGATGGTACTAGGCAGCCACACCAAAGACCTAACATTGTCCATACAGACATTATACTCCTCCAATATCCTTACCTTTGGAATTCACGGAGCTTTACCTTCATTTCTAGGTAGGAATTTAGAAGCCTTAGGCTTTCCCAGTTGTTAATAGATAACACACACAAAAAGGAGAGGAAGACCAAAGTCAGAAGACCCCCCCACTCTCAGGTCACCAATGAGATAGATGACAGTCCAATAATATTTTTGTTTTTATTTTATAAAACATGCAGTTTAAAACAAAACTTAAAAAAAAAACAACAAGAAAACAAAACTTGGAACAGGAGAATGGAGTGGATGGAAGACAGATGCTTCTCAGCTGTCAGCAGGAGTGAAGCCAGCAGCCAAGCTTTGTTTTGGACCCAAAGGCCCTTTTGGCAATGATGGTGTTGGCAACACCGGTGTGCTAGGGCCACCAGTCCTCTATGTGTTGCCTTTCTGGCATGCCTCAAGCAGTCAGAGACTTGAGCTATGTCTTGAACTACCATTGTATCTGATCATCTTAGCCAACTAGGTTAAGTCCTTAGCCAACTAGGAACTGCAAGTTTTGGTTTCAGGATCTTCTTTGTGTGGATATTAATCACCCAGAATATTTATTAAGAATTACTTTACATCTGGGTCAAATCTAGACCTTGTTTCTGTCCCACTGTTTTTGCAAAGGATGAAAAAGGAATCTGGCTGTTAGACCCTTTGCAAATTTCTACTGCATTCCAGTTCTATTAATAGCACCATCTGTAAATCCTGAGCAGGTTCAATTCTGGAAGTAGAGACAACTTAGGAAGCCCTCTCCCAGTTCTGGGACCACAGAACACCAAAGGGAGAGACAGCAGTTTTTTGGGAAGCAAGGAGGTCAGAGCGCCAGTACTGAGGAAAAAACAGCTGCATCTGTCAGAGACAAAACCAAGAACATTGAATCTTACAGTGAGTGGAGAAAAGGCACCTAGGATTCTTCTTAGGAAGGAAAAATACAAGAGAAAAGAGGGCATGGCCCTGTTCCAAACACTTTAGAATTGGGCAAGAGGAGGTTAGGACCAATGGAGAGTTTCAATAAAATCTATTTCACTGATTGTTGGGAGGATTAAATGCGTTGTAAACTGTTAAGTGCTTTGCAAATTTAAGGTAGAGTTAGCACCGTTAACATCATCATCATCATCATCATCATCATCACTATTATGGTGGGTATCATCTTCACATACGTAGTTAAAACCCACCCAGTAGAGTTTCCCTTGTCCCATCCCAAGCCTTACTTTTGGGACTTGTCTGGCCCTCAGGCTCGGGCACCTTCCAGTCCAATTTTCGGCCCTTCTCGTAAAGACCCTTGAGCACTTTGTGGAAGGACTCAGGCTCAGTGCCATTTTTGCTTAGCTCCAGATACTTTCGGTAGAGCTGAAGGGCTGTGCGAGCATCCTCAATACTGTCGTGGGTCTCTCCTTGAATCTTCAGGTCTGCGGAAGTAGAGATGGAATAGTTTGGGAACTCACAAAGGAAGGTAAGAATATGTTCCCCACTCCAACTCCCAATAAAGAACCTGACTGCCCTTAAAGGAAGGAGCCAAACACCATCCCTGGTGCACGGGAAGGATAGTGAAGCTAATTAATAACTTCACCACTGACTTGGGATCCTCCCTACTCTCTTTGGCCCCTCCAACACTTTTTCCTGCTCTTAATGAATACCACAAGGGCCGTTAAGGCAGAGCAACTCACCCAGAAAATACCAAGCAAGGAATCGCAGGGAAATCATTCGTTTTCGGGGCATGTGAAACAGATAGACAGTGTCAAGGACTTGGTCCTTGGGCACCTGGAAGGGATGAAAGAATGGGAGACTGAAGGTAGGGGATCCATAATTTCCCATTTACCAGAAGCACAATGTACATACCCTGAGGGGCCCACACTCAAAGAAGACTCTTAAAAAAGCCCTGCACGAACCATGAGGTTGATGACCCGGAAGTCCTTCTGCAGACCATGACCCACAAACTTGACTCCAATGTCTATGAGAAAACGAAGTTTTAAGTAGGTAGACTTGAGAGTTGTGAGGTGCTTAGAGGAAATCTTGGCATCGAGATCTCCTGGCTTTATCCCTGAGTATTGAGTCAAGTAATCCACCACCTAGGGATAGAGAAGGCAAGTTTTCCAGGCAATCTCCCCTACCACGCTTCCCTAGGTTCTAGAGTACTCTACATAAGCACAGGATCTGTCTCATTTGCACTTTCATATCCTTATACCTGCTCCTGGGTAGAGATGTAGTCATCAATGAAAGGGATACCCTCATTGGGCCCCTGGCCCCGAACACAGGTAATCCTAGCGACTGACATCTGGCTTGGTTTGATGGTCGACTTGGTGCCATCACTGCGCAACTCTGCTTCCTCCTACATGGAAGAGTTAATAAGGAAATTAGAGAAGCCTATGACTCCAAATATCCCCAGAGTTCTGTTCCAACACTCCACACTATTGGTCTTGCTTACCTCATTAAGGGTGACAAACTCAGCATCCAGGCCCACCAGGTCCCCAACCTGTGGCATCTCATTCAGCATCAATGGAATGAAGGTAGTATGTGTCTTCCGCTGCTTCCGTGCCAGTGAGGCTTCAGCCATCAGGACACTTGCCTCAATAGGGTTCTTGACTGGAAGGGAGAATCCAGAAGACACATTGCTGGGGACAGGGAAGTGACCAGGGGAGGGAAACCCAGGACAGCTCACCAGAGACTAGGTCTACAATGTGACCCTCAATAATTAAAGCATGTAAGTAAAAAGATCATGTTTAATGAACAGAGCAGGTAGATGGAACAGATAAATAAAATAATTATCAAGAAATGTGGTAAGGAAAAAAAAACTTGACAGAAAGAATAAAACTTTCACTTTGGATTTTAGCTTAGAAAATCCACAAAAATGAAGTTACTGGGAAACTATGGTTTAAAGGCACCAAAAAGGGACTTAATAATGAGTTCATCTCCTAAAGAAGAGATCTTCACTTGGGATAAAAATAATTAGACTCAAAATCCTAACGTAGCCACTTTGATCAGACTCTCCCCCACTTCTTTCTCACTATACCCTCAGGATCTTTGGCTTCTAAATTTAAGACCTTATGGGCACGAATCTGTGTAGTATCCCTGGAAATATTAACACTGGTTACACATTCTAATCTTTATGTTTCTTACTGATTTTAATCCTCACCCAAGGATATGTTTATTGATTTTAGAGCTAGAGGAAAAGAGAAAAACATCAGTGGCTTCCCATATGTGCCCTGACCAGGGATCGAACCCACAACCTTTTGGTACATGGGATGATACTTCAACCAACTGAGCCATTGGCCAGGGCCTAATCTTTCTGTTTTTTAAAGCATGTCCCCCCTTTCTTTATTTTTTAGGGGGGGGGAAGAGAGAGAGAAAAATCGATTTGTTGTTCCACTTATTTATGCATTCGTTGATTGCTTCTTACATGTGTCCTGACCAGAGACTGAACCCACAACCTTGGTGTATCAGGATGATGATGTAACCAACTGAGCTACCCAGCCAGGACACAGATCCTGATCTTAACAAGCTACTTCCTAGGTCTCTTCCTAAAGACCAATCTAAACGGCCCATGCCTTGGGTCTACTCTTGTACCACTTACTGTTCAGGTTGTATTTGGAATTAAGATTCCTTTTGATGTAATAAAGGATAGCAGGCACTTTCCAATTCATGTCAAACTGCACAGCTTCATGCTATAAAAGAAAAAGCACTTAATGGCCAACGTATAGGACCCTTTTTCCCAAGTCAGACAAATGATAAGACTCAGGCACTATTTTTAGCCCTGCTAATACTTTTTATTCTTGAGAACCCATCCCTCCCTCCTGAATTTGTCTGGTATTCTATAGGAAAATGAGGATGAGGATGCTGGGGAAAGCGGGGATGCAATGTGTTACAACTAACCTTATCAATAGGTTCAATAAGAAAGTCATTGAAGAGGTACCACTGCTGGTGGGTAACGCCCTATGGAGATACAGAGGAAGATTGATGCCAGAGCGCTGGCTGGACCACTGGGGCTCAGACTGAAGATAAGGACAGATCTAGGATTCTGTTCTGGCCACCACCAGGAGGAGCTTTGCTCTGTATTACCTCACTCACCTCCTTGCGTTGGTGGTAGGTCTCTCCAACTTTGATGTGAGCCACCAGGCTGCCCCCTGTGCGCGAGTCCAGGATGTGTACCACAGTAGCCATCAGGTCATACACATAGACACCACGTTCCTCCTCTGCCCTGGCTGGGCCCCACTGTGAGGGGGGTACCCAGGCTTCTAAGCTAAGTTTAAGGATAGGGAAGGAAGGGGAGCAGGGATAGAGGACAGGGAGTCTGGGGTATGGAATGGGGCACCAGGGTGGGTTATCTTCATCCTAGCCCATCAGTGACTCCCAACAGTAAAGTTAATGATTCTGGAAAAGCCCACTACTGGTAAACACTCAGCCTTATTCCCTTCATCTTCCCTATACTAAATTCCATTTCCCCCTACCCTGCTTCTGCCCTATCCCTCTCTCCCCTATATCCTCTCCTCTTCCCAATTTTCCAACAACCTGCACCTCATCCCCATCGGTCCAATTGCAAACATCGAGTCCTTTGTTCTTGGTCATCTTCATGCGAATAGAGAACGGAAGCCAGATATTCTTCAATTCCTCAATGGAAGAACACATCAGCATGCCCTCTGG